ATAAGTTCGTCGATTGGGTCAAGGATAGTAGTTCGCCTTGCGATCTGGCTCTTTGTCATTCAGGTCTCTTTGTATCAAGATCAAAGCCAGTGTCCAAGGTACAAATTTAGTGGCCTGATACCTGAATGAACCATCTTTAATTTTGACCTACGGCTTGTAAACTATCAGTCACTTAAAATGTGATTTTTTAGGCCAACCATGGCTCGGCCAGGTTCAACTCCACCCGTAGGATTGGATTTGGACATGCTGCCCTGTCACGTCATCTCTGCCCGTGCTTGTGAATCTTCACTAATTTTTGGGTGTGGAGAAAATGAGCAACTTCTTTGAATACTAGGATAGTTTCTCCAGAGGTAAGCGAGAGAGCCCAGTTTCTATCTCGTAGAACTTGAATTCATCATTGAAGGCCAATACCCATAAGCCAAATTCCGCCGAGTGCTCTCATGGACACACAAGGACAACAAGTTGACAAAAATGAGCTCAAGTTTCAATCCAGAGCAACAACCCGAGCCTCCAAGTAGTTACGTTCATGTTGGGGGTTTCAATCAACCTGAAGATTCTCGCTCATCAAGACCCAAGATTCAGCTCTCTACCCATTGCGCCCATCTTGATAGTGGCCTTGCCAGAATTTATCAGGCATCAGGACTTCTGCGGGTAATGATGTTTTGCTACTCTTCATATTTTTCTCGCTACGAGTATCCAATAATTTACTCCAAAATCTGAAAGAGACCGCTGCTGCTTGGACATCGACTTCACACGTGGCTGGTCTCGGGCATGGAACACAGTCAAATAAGCACCTGGTCAAGTGGGTTTGTCGGCTCGAAAATAGCTCCAAAGAGATGCTGTCCACTCTTGCGCAGGTTCGCGCCATTCTGAGGCTTCGGGGCTCGTTGGGGGTTTATCAGTCTATCAAAGGGCTCGTTCGAGAACAGCTGATGCTACAGCATGAGCGTGGCTCGGAACCGGGGACTATCCGCAGCCTTGTTGATATTTCGACTACTTTTGCTCAGTTGTTGTTCATGCTCTCATTTTACCTTTCAGACAATGTAAATGTCCTTTCGGGGCGCAGAGTATTGCATTTTTCGCCTGCCGCAAGGGCAAAACTGGTCAGTTGGAGTTTGCGTTCGTGGGTTTTGTATACTGGGATGGCATTGGCGCGGTTGGTTGCCCGAAATCATGAGGGCGAAAGTGAAGAAGCGACTAGACGTTGGTGGAGGCAGCTGTGGCCAAGTCTGGTGTCATTTATCATAGCCGTGAACAACAGCGCCGAAAACAGTCCACTCAGCGATATGACCGTCTCGCTACTTGGCCTCTACCTAAGTGGATTGAAGATGCAAGATGTTTGGAGGGATAGTGCAGTAATAGCTAGCAGTTGTGTAAATTGATCTTTTGTGAATGGATTGATTCTTTTCCCGATACATCTGAGTTTCGCATATCTTACCAAAGAGTTTGGCCTCGTGCTTCACTGCATTACCAGGCCATCTTCTCAACTATACCTCCTGGCCAGCGCCTTAGACAAGCCTTGCGACCTTCGTCGAGACACAAAAGCCCAACACCAAGCGCAGCCGGCAGAAAGTAGTGTTCGACTGGTACTCCAGAAGTGTTGAGCACCGTTTGTAATTGGGGGATATAGAGCCAGATAACAGCCACTCCAAGGGAAAGCAAGATGGCAGGCCAGAGAAGAAGATTTTGGGTATCTTTGTTGAAAGCTGGGGGATGTTGGAATATGGACAGCTTGCGGGTACGGACCGCCATCAAGTTGAACCATTGCCTACACCGGCGCAATATGGACAGTCAGCATTATGTGGCTTAGAATATGCCGCTCAGTTTAGAGAAATCTTACATGATGACGAGGTTCATAAAGTAGATGGAACTGGCTTCGTTCAGGCGGGACTGGTAGTAGTCAGGATCGATACCGGCGGGAAGCTCCCCAAACTTGAACCAAAGGTCACGGAAATGAATTCCATTTCTCTCGAGATACCAGTAAGCCATTGTGAAAGATAGAGTTGTTTCAATCATCCCAACAAATGCATAGGCGTGGAAAATCAGCTGCCAGTCCACAAGCTTGGTCGTCTTGGGATTGCGAGGTGGGCGTAGGAGAAGATCTGCTTCAGGTTTCTCGTAGGCAAGCACAATGGCGGCGATACAGTCGGTGCAACAACTATGATTGTTATGATTAATCTTGTGGATTGACACGAGGAAGTAGACGCTTGGTTCCACTTACCAGATGATAATCATCAAAAATAAGGAGAGAATCTGTGGAAGCCCAAAGACAACGCTGGTGAAAATCGGCCAAAACTCAGACCATGAGCCCGCCGGTAGAAGATACGCGATAACCTTCTTCAGATTATCAAATACAAGGCGCCCGTAGCGTACAGCCTCCACAACCGCGGCGAAGGAGTCCAGAAGAACCATATCGGCAGCTGCGATGGCAATATCGGACCCACTGGCGAGGCTGATGCCGATGTCTGCCGCCTTGAGGGCCGGTGCATCGTTGACTCCATCACCGGTCATGGCGACGATCTGTCCCCGAACCTGGAGCTCTCGAACGATCCGGAGTTTTTGATCTGGAGTTGTTCGTGAGAAAATGATCTCGGGGTATGCGCATGCCTGCGTCCATTGATATTCATTGAGCTTCATGAGGTCCCTTCCCACCAGTGATAGAGCTGCTTGGGGTATAGCTGCCTGTTGGTTCGGGACTCGTGGGGGAAAGCGAGCTAGAAAGGAGATGTCATGGACAGAATTCTGAGTTACCATGCCGCATTGGCGAGCAACAGCCAGAGCAGTGAGGCAAAAGTCTCCAGTGACCTATCGATGAGATTAGCCTGTTGAGAATTCAAGAGGAACCAGTCATTGGCAGGAAAAGCCTACCATGAAGGACCGAATTCCGGCGCCCCTTAAAGTATTCATCACCTCGGGTATCTCATCCCGAGGAGGATCGACCAGTCCGAGTAATCCCACAAACACTAGATTGCTTCTGAGCTCCTTGATCACACACCTTCCCCAATCATATGTCGGAGATGCCGACGCAGTCTCATCCCACGAAATGATCTTCCTGGCCAGTAATATGACTCTGTTACCATCAGATGCCCACCTATCCTTCATCTTTGTAACGTTTGCCGCAACATCTTTGGATAGAAACTCAAGTTTTCCGTTCTCTTGCACGTACTGGGTGCATCGATCAAGTAGGATATCAGGGGCTCCCTTAACAGTCAGCAGCCTTCATGAGCGTCAGCCTCCTTTCTAAAGATTTAAGCAGCTGAGAGATGAAAATAGAGTGAGTATGATCACGCGAATGCACTCACATGTTGCGGGAACTATCGAACCGTTCTTTCTCGGAATCGCTGATGCAAGGCCCGAGACCCTTCAAATCCGTCATGACAGAGCCCTTCGCCATGAACTTGTGTTTGCTATCGAAAGCTAGCTGGAAACGGTGTTTCCAGGCGCTGCGTAGGTTTGCGACTGATCCCAAGCTCTCTGAGAAGCGGAGTGCGGCCTGGTCCGTGGCGTCACCAAAAATGGATCGCTCAGCCAAAGGGAGGAAAGTGGTATCTCTGTCAAAAGTCGAGTCGTTGCAGAGGCCCGCAACAGCGCGTAGCTGATCGATGGCTACTGATTCATTCCACATCAGAGCTTCTTTGGCTGTATCGGGAGTGTATTCTGTCGTGCCAACGGAGCAGTGGGTGACGAACATCTTATTCTAAGTAGGTGATTCGTGTTAGTTGATTTGAAGCTGCGGCGGCTGGATAAATTAATACTAGTAATATCTCACCCTGGTTAATGTTCCCGTCTTGTCCGAACAAATCACGGATACTGCACCCAGGGTCTCGACAGTCTTTAGGGACTTGCAAAGTATACCATTTTTTTTCATCAAGCTCGCCGTAATGGTTAGGGAAGAGGTGACCGCAACAGGCAAGCCTTCTGGGATATAGGCAATCGCGACACTCACACAGCTCACGATGAGAGCGGGGACGCTGAGCCAACTGGGGTGCTCTTTATGAAGCCAACCAGCCCTACACTGAGTCAGTCAAATCACATCGATGCTTCAGACGGGACCGATGGGCAAGTGATGACAGACCACACAGCAACAATGATCAAAACCCAAGCGATCATAATTATTGAAATAATAAGAACAAATCTTGAGATGTCTTTCTCAATGGGTGTGGGGGTTGGTTTGAGCTCGCTGGACAGTTTCGCAATTTGACTAAACACGGTGGAATCACTGATTGCAACCACTACGCCAATGGCTGTTCCAGATACGCAGTGCGTTCCCTGAAGACCAATACAGTGTGTCTCCAGGTAGTTGTCGCTATTTGAGTCAACAACACCCTTTACGGGCCTCGATTCGCCTGCAATAACTGTTAATGGAGCCTGTATTACCATGTCACCTGCAGGGCTCACTAACCAGTAAGCACGGAACGATCCACCTTCATGTCATGAGAGACCTGAAGAAACCGTAAATCTGCTGGAATTTTGTTTCCCGCCTTGACGAGCAGGACGTCGCCGGGGACCACGTTCAGAGCACTGACCTCGATTAGGGCTCGCTCGCGAATGGGATGGCAAGATTCTGGAAGCATGGCGGTCATGGACTGCATGACACGTGAGGTGGACCAATCCTGGTAGAAATTGAAAGCAGCCTGGATAAGAAAAACGCATACTAAAACGATTCCAAGTGCCAAGTTCGCAACCCGGGGTGGGTCACCGAGGGGCTTCCAGGATATGAGAACGAGAATGCCACCAATGCACAGGATGGATCCAAAGCCCTTGAAGAAGTAGCCCACTACTCGAAAAAGCCAGGGGTTGGGGAGAGGAGACATTTTGTTTTCTCCATATTCCACAAGGCGGTCGTCGACATCAGGCTGAGAGAGGCCATCGGCCAAATTTGCCTGAAGCCGCTTTTCAATTTCTACTGGCGTTAGCTTGTGCCAATCAATGGTTTCGAACTCTAGCCGTTTTGTCATTAGATTATGTTTTTCAGTACATATAAAATTCATGGAGTGATGTTACTTAAAACCACTGCATCTATTGCCTTGGCACGCTCGGTTTGTTTGGCTCTCTCTGCCTCCTCAATGTCCTGGGAGCTGCATCCAATGCAATTAGTCAAAGCCATAACCAGGATTAGGAACAAGGTCCGAAGAATATAAAATCGAATAGGTACACATACATGGTACGATATATAATGGGAAGAGCTGTAGCAGGCTCAATGATTCGGTGGCGGCTGGAGGAACGAGACCGCCATTGAGGGCGTTCCACGGTTGCCCGTCCCTCCCGCAGACCGCGGCCGGCTTCTTCATCACCCTCACACCAAACCACTTTGCCTTCCGTGGTCTTCATTTGTGGAACTTGGCGTTGGATAAGGGGGGTGCGAGGGCATTCGTAAATGTTGTAGAAGGATCACATAGCTCCAGGAAGTCACTGGGCTTATATACGCTCAACTGATGGGAGGGAAACACAGCACTACAATGCTTCGCCTGATGACTATTTGTTAAGTGAGACTCGATTTCACGTACAAGAATTGATACAGAAGAGTGTATCCCGAAACCTTCCACGAGACAGGCGCGGGGCAGTGTTGAGGCCTCCAACCAACTGTCCATGCCAGCCGCCATCCTTCTCGTAATTGGCGACGTATGCGCGAAGTCGAGAACGAGGGCACATGCAAGGAAGATTGAGGCCTCCTAGAGAAAAAAATCGCTCGTCGTCATTGTCAACAGACTGCAACTCATGTCCCAATTTAGCAAGGCCAGAACCATTCTGGGTGGGTAGATGAGGCCTCCTGAAATACGCGCACTCTGTAAAAAATTAGGCAAATACTATGTACCTCCTATATGCAATCGCAGAATAATACAAATTTCGCGTCTGCGGTCTTTACTTGACTTTGGAGATGGAATGAGAGATGTGCATTTTTGTTCATTCAACTGGCAGTGAGAGAAAACCCGACAGGCCGTCATTGCGGAATCTACATCGGATGACACAGTTATACTTCTCCTTCTGTTTCCTCTTAGAGCGATCTTCGTGGCTTAGCAGGATATTCACACTTTGATATAATTCTCGTCACCTCTCTTGTACCGCATGCTTGACTGAATGATTTTGAATGATGTGCTATTTTGGACAGCTAATGAGCTAACAAACTCATCAAATGTTCATCTCAGAGAGACACCTAAGACAACCATATGCCATATCAATCTATGTATCCTCTCTCGATGACAGTAGGTGAAGAGGCACAGGTAAAACAAGATTGTGCATACAAAAGACAACTGGCTCTTGAGTGCTCACGAAAGAAGTCTAGGCACTCAATAGTAGCAAAAAGGGGGCCAATGGGGTATTATCGCAACAGCGAGGTCCTCTGCAGTTCACTTTCATGGCCATCCATTTGATGGACCTGTTGAATGTGGGGCAAAAGATGGATAATCCATCCCCCATTCATAAAGTTCTCCATGCTTGCATTCATTCCTGTCGTCGTACCAACAGTCGCCGTTCCCATCATCGCCCTCATCACTAGACTCATGGGCCACAGGCAAAAACAACTCCAACATTGTCTTTGACAGGGCGGCATGCATATTTAGCAACTCGTGAAATTCTTCGAGTTCCCACAGGTGAAGAATGCTATCGGCAGCACGGTGAGTTGCGAGGCGTGTCAATCGGTCTGGCACGAAATTCGTGTAGCAGAGCCGCAGCAATGCCATGATGCCCTGCGCCTTGTCTTCGACTCTGGCACAATTCTTCATCACCGTACCTAGCTTATGGATTGATAGGTTCATCAGGCGGGTAATGCCATAGCGATCTGCTAGGATATAGACTCGTGCATGGTGCACGACTGCGCCCGCGTAGTCTCCGTCCTTGACATCTTGCGGATATTCCGTTCCAAGCACATGGTCTCTCCAGGTCATGGTGGGACGCTGTCGGTTCGTGGCTTCCGATGATATCATTCCCCTCATAGACCCTTCTCCTTGTTCGCATTCTGCGTCGTCTTGGTGGTCCATTCTGCCCTCGCTGGAAGATGATCCGTTCTGATGGTCTGTAACCTTTTTGTGTTCGTCACTGGAACACAAATTACTAGAGTCACTGCTGCTGTAGGCTGCATCTGACACGTCGTAATCCCCCGTGTATGCAAATTCCCAGAAGCTGAGGAAAGATGGCTCGTCGATATCATCCCACTTCACGGATTGAGAAATTGACTCGCTCAAGCCCCCGCTCACCAAGGCGCTGAGGACCGGAGATTGCAGAGCAACGAGATCGGAATGGATGGTATATTCTTTGGCATCTGGGCCGACGAAGAAGCGAAATTGCCCGGAGGACGCGACGCTGTTTAAAGGTCAATTTCTTCGAATGGCTTCGTGCAGATGTATGCCAGCGTCTACTCACAGTTCTTTCGGTATGCCGTTCATTGTGAACAACCTCTGGAAGCCAGCCTGACGAGGAAAACTAGATTTTGCGGTGAGAGAGAATAAGAAGACGACGTTGTTGGTCGCAGGTGTTGCATGAGAAATCACGGTGACTGCAGGCGGAGTGAGTTGGAACTGAAAACATGACATGGCGAGTTTCTGCCTTACTGAGGGGGCAACCACCGCGCGTCGACGTGGTACAAAGTACACGTAACTTGAGCTTCTGAAGGCACCCAGCAGATGGCACTGGCGCATTGCATTCTAGGTACGTACTAACTTAGTAGGTGCTCAGATTCTCGGGTGGACATTTGTAGGTATCTGGCACAACACAACAACACAACGAGGGCGTCAACATCAGAATATCCTCACACGCATCACGCGACCAGCACCCCCAACCGTAATTGGCCACTATCTAGCTGCCAGATGATATGATTGACCCGTGGTTTGTTGGATGGACATGAATGGCCTTTGGACATAAAGTCATGAGGGGATTCTACAAGACCCCCGAATCTTTCAAATATCCGCACATCGCGCTCTGTCAACATCCCTAACTGCTGATTTCTCTATCAACCACTGCTTAAGATTGACTGATAAAAAGCCTTGAATACCTAACTGGAAACTTAATATAGTTGTAAGTCTCAGGTAATCTTTGATAGAAGCTTATCATGCTGTTCTAGGCTGCCTTCATAAAGAACGACCCTTGCGAAAGGCGCCTCTTTCTTCTCTAGCTCTAGGTTTAGCAAATCATGTACAGTAATAGACACATGCATATCAACTAGAACTTTATCAGCGATTTAATGGCTATCCAGCGGCATTTTAAAATGTTGAGCAACCTTTCAGCATATTTTGGTCCACGACATAATCTCTCCTTCTTGTGACATCGGAATGCGACCGTGTGAGAATGATATGTGCTGGCGTTTTAACTTTTCCTCATGAAAATTCACTCCATCTGTAGTTTCTATTGGCATATACCATTAGTTAATCCTCCGCAGTTGACTTGTACGAACAAAAGGGGAAACACCAAACAAAGCAAAGACGTGAGGCCACTAACCCCTGCATCCGTTGCGGGATGTCGCAGCTTTGTCTGGAGGCAGATTCCACTGACAACCACCACCCTCTTTACCATTTACAAAGGCGGGTCGTGGCTGGAGTGTTTGGAGGCCTCTAAAACGACACTTGGGTGACAATTTCCAAGATGGTGATCACTTTACTTATAGTCATTACCTGGATCAGCCTTGTCCTGATGGGTGGGGCCTACAATAAGAAGAAGTACGATGACTGCAACATATCTGCTGGGTTCGGCTACTTGGCTATACCGGGAGCAGGTGTTATGTCTAGCTGCCAGAAAATGAGTCTTGAGTATGGGCAGACCAAGGGCGTAGCGACGGCTTTCCGATAGGAAATGACTCGGCCGTGAGACTGATACTACCTCGGAATTCGACCATGATAGTAACTGCCTTCATTTTTTGAGGAGCCGCTAACTCGATATCACAGATTCCTTCTGCCACCAACGGGATAGCATCCATGATAACTTTATAGACGGACTAATGCTACTATAAGCCGAGGAACGATAGGCAAGTGGGAGTGTGCTGATTTCCAAAATATATTCGGCCTCTTTCGTTTCATAGGCCATAGGTAGAATATCACGGCGAGCAATTAGAGTTAGAGTGGCATGTAAGAACTACAGGCGAAGTTGGGCTTCACCGCTGGAGTGTCGGTCTCTGCACCCATGATAGAGCTTCCGTGATTATGCGAAACAGGAACAATTTCCAACGTCTAAGCAATAAGAGAAACGATAGGGCCATTTCGAGGCATTAGCGGCCAACCGATTTGCTGGATGGAAATAGAGTGCGTGATTGAGAACAACTGCATGAGGTTGAGAGCAAACTGATTTACTAGGGGTCATAAGACCCCAATCACAATGGCAAAATGTATCTATTGTCAACAAAATTGACTAGCAGTAGGTAAAGTATCTACTGACTGCAATGAATCTCTTACGAAAAGGTGGGAACTTAAGATTTGGGATGAATGTTAACGGAGATGGTGTACTTAGTAGTTCGAAAAGAACTTAAAAAGGTGGGAAATCAACCTAGGAGATATTCACATTCTTGGTTATGAGTGATTCAGCACTCTGTTGGTTGTCAATCAGCTCGTCGGAAACCCTGAAGACATTTGTCTGATATAAGGTGGCCCGATTCACGAACTCGAGTTCGGATGCCAGACGCGCACTGAAATGATTATAAAAAGCCCTCTGCCCTCTAGATTCTCTTGGGCCGTTACTTCTCACATTTCTCTGCACATTTGAGTGATCTCACATTTCTCTACACATTTGATTGATCACTCAGCCACATTTTTACCGAACCACAAGCTCAGGATCCGTTGAACTACAATACTTTGCTCAGGTACCTAGGCATAGAAGCAAAACCGAGACCATGTCCGGCCCTATGTCGAAAAGCGAATACGTCGCGAGAAAAGTCGCGGCAGAGCTAAACAAAGCGGGAATCACATGCGTGCTATGGAACCAAGCTGCGATGGGTGTGTATGGCTTCATCGATAAGCCCCTTCCGTTTGAGATCAAGTGAGTCCCCTGTAGGACGAATCATACTATTGTTTGGCTAACGAGAAGAAAAAGAACGGTCGATTTTATTGTCTCGGACGAGAAATTCGACCTCGCAAAGTCTGTTCTTGCTACAGCTTTAGAAGAATGCCGCAACAAAGGAATTCCCATACACCTCGATTTGGGTCATTCCGAAGCCCATTTTCTCTGCAAGCCAGAAGCTCAGAATCCTCAACCAACAGAAGCGAAAATGTTAGTTGGTCTTGTACGCCAGCGAACGGTGCTTTGGGGAATGCCACCCCTTGATTCCAGTCTTCTGACGGCAGCAACGGTGCCCTTCTCGAACTTGAATTTTGTTAGCGCAGAACACCCGATGTTTCCTATGTGCCCTCCTGGTACGGAAACTAGCGCATCAGTGAACCCAAATGTACCAGAGGGCTATGGTCGTTATGGTCCCATAGGTTGCCAGGCTTTTGTGATGAGACCGAAGCTTTACGCTCAGACTCTCATGCTATGCGCTGCTCGCCATTATAAAGGCAAGCGTCACGTCCCCATCGAGGCCGACGTTCTCAAAGCCATGGGTGACTGTTTGGACCGCTACAAAGTTGCAGACGAGCTTCAAGAACCGTTTGCGAGTCTATACAGAGAGCTCAGGAAGAGCGACGTGGCCAGGACAGAATGGGTTCAACGAGCACATCAAGCCTTATTTGAACTCTTCTGAGTGGATTGGATCAATTCACCTTTATACTGTAGCTAGCTAGAGTTAATGCCAACATCTGTCACTCACATGTGATCCCTTTGTGGTTGTCGGAAAAGTCCTGGTGCTCACTTTTTTAGATTGAGTTTTGGTACGCTGTGAATCCTTGACAATGAAATTTTTTTCAAAGTGAAAGTAGTAAGTTAGTTCATTAGAAAGCGGAATATATAGAAAAAGCAGCAAGTTCTCAACTAATTAGGATTATATTTTTAAAAACTAGATAACCCCCCTATTAATATACGACGGCTAGATTAAGTTTTAAGCCTTTAGATTCACTAGAGGCTCATCCATCATGAGTTCTGTTCTATATTTAATGGCATAGATAAACAAATAATAATACTGTAATGAAATTCATCTGTGATAAGATGTATAAGAAACCGCCAAGGCGTTGTAAGCTGGCCAACTCGTGAATTGGACTCCACAGAAGGTGGACATGTATCAGATCAATGGATGCTTGGAGTCAAGATGATCAATAAGATCCGAAACGCTCGTCTCCGGATGTTCGCACATTGCAAGAACTGCCGACTCTAAGTATTCATAGAGGGCTCTAACCTCCGCACTGCTGAGGACACTGACGCGATGGGTAGCAATGATTTGGATGCTATCCTGCCTGAGTTGACAATGCATGGATAGATTGCTGGTTGTAAAGCCTCTGGTGCCCTCTTCTGGTGACCACACTTCAGGCGCATGTTCCATTAAGCTGGCTACATTAGTATTCTCGCCAGTACCGGAAGTTTGTACTGCATGAGGAATGATCAAAGTGGATGGGTCGAGAATGTCATCGATCTCATCTTGAGGTAGAAGGTTGGCAATGTTCTGCACACCGAAGTGCTCATACGGCACACTCTTGGAGCAATGGCTCTGTAACTCTGAAAGAAACTCTGATATCGATTGCCTCTTCTTAATGCGTACTGGCATTGGCATTTCAACGGTGCACAGTCCGGGGGCATTCTCAATCCTGGCCACAGGTGCTTGTCGGCCAGAAGACAGCCGCATGACATATATATCGCGATTCTGATTGTCAAAGTGTCGAATGGCAAGACCCCACGCACCGAGCAGGATAGTACCGAGTGTGAATTCTGATTGATTTAACACCTCGATGGTGGTGAAGGTTAATTCATAGGCGCCATAATCGTTTGTGGGAGGTGGTCTTTGCGGCCATCGCGATTGCTTGAGGCCCTTGAGTGCGGTCTGCCAAAATTTGATAGATTGAGCCTGGTCAATCTCGGTGGTGTATTGGATGAAGTTGGCGAAGTTTGAAATAGGTGCGGGTGCAACGTTGTAGTAGAAGTTGGATACAGCCCCTAAAACCGTTGTAAAACTCCAACCATCAAGCAGGACGTGATGCTGTATCCAGACGAAAAAGCGGTCATCGTTCTCTTCAATTATAGCGTACCTGGAAAGCAAGGTTCCGAATCCCATAGTAGATACTAAATCGGTATCTTTGATGAAGCTTCTGACGCCTAATCGCTCCGGATTTTCCTCCCATTCTTGATAACCCTTGATGATGACCTGGATGTTGGTTCCGTGTGAGGGTACAATCCTGCACCTTAGAGTCGGCAAGTAGTTAACAGTCTGATCCCATGCCCACTTGAAGCGATCGACATCAATGTTTTGAGGGATTCTCCAAGCCCGTTTATGAACGCAAGCGCCAGGGCGACTTGCTGTGCCCCTCATCATATCATCTTGATGTGTGTAGGTTGGGAATGCATCTTCTATTGTCGGTAGCTTAGGAAGATTTCCCAGGCGCTGGATTTCCGAAGCAAGTTCTGCCACGGTACTGTTGTGCGGAAGCAGACTGAAAGGCTTGACGACTTTTGTTGCATACTGGGTACCTGTAGAGGCAGCAGTGGCCAATGATGATAGTCGCGAGTCCTGGAAGATGTTCCCGACTGTAATTTTCATACCCATGTCTTGAGCTGCCGATGCAAGCTGGATAGCCAGAATAGAGTCACCTCCAATCCTCAGGAAGCTATCATCTCGACCAATACTCTCCTTCGGGATGTTGAGAATTGCGGCCCAAAGTTCCTGCATGCGAAATTCTATCTCTGTCTCTGGTGCTCTTTTTTCCGCATTAGATAGCGAGTACTTGGCTATCATTTCCTGGCCCAGGTTCAAGGTATAGCTCTTCAATGCCTTCCTATCTAGCTTGTCTGAAGAATTGCCTGGCATATAGCTACACGGAATGAAGATCGCCGGGACTTCATACGAAGGTAGAACGAGGTGTAGACTGCCAGTTAATTTTAGAATGGCATCCTGGAGCTTTGCGTTTAAGGGGAGGAAGACGTCATCTTGATGATTTGTCCGCATTTTGTCGTTGTAGCAGAAATAAGCCACTAGGTGAGCAGCTATGTCCGTCTTGAGGACATCAACGGCAACCTGCTGAACACCTTCCAGCAACTCTCGGATATGGAACTCTATTTCACCGAGCTCAACACGAAGACCGCGGATCTTGACTTGCGTATCCTTTCGAGAGACAAAATTAATAGTGCCATCTTCATTATATGAGACTAGATCACCTGTTTTATAAAAGCGGTTCCATGAAGAATCAGAATGTTTTGGAGCCCAGTCTGGCAACGTTGAAATGACAGCCTTGCGGGTCTGTTCATCATTGTTGAGGTACTCTCGAAGCATTGTCGGCGTTTGGATGACAATCTCACCAACCGTTCCGATAGGAGCCAACTTCGTGTAATCTTGAGGATCAACAACCCACGTGTATCCACATAGTGGGCGGCCGATGTTTGTCGGTACATCATTGATCGAGGAGTATTCATACCAGGTGCTTGCTACTACCGTTTCTCCAGGGCCCCATACGTTGATTAGGCGGACCTTGCCAAACCAGCGGTTCAAGATATCTTGCGTTACCGCTTCACCCCCCAACACGATAACCTTGAGGCTTGGGACCTGTTCTGGAGACAGAATTTGTACGAGCGACGGCGTGAAACATGCCCAATCGACATTGTGTTCTTCAATAAAACGGGGAAGATCGCCCATCCTGGTGTCATCGTCCGGCACACAGACGCAGCATCCACGAAGTAGGGATCCAATGACTTCCGCAACCGAAAAGTCAAAGGTAAAAGATGCGAATTGCAGCACTCTCGAAGACCTGCTCAGGCCGAGGTAGTGGGTAAAGTTGGTTTGACTCGTGCAAAGAGACCTATGCTCAACCACATAACCCTTGGGAGTGCCTGTGCTTCCAGAGGTGAAGAAAATATACGCAGGGTCATATATGGACACCTCTACAGCCGGCCCATGTTGGGAATCAGCTGATTGCATCGCCGGATCGCGTCCAAGCGCTGGAGAGACTTCGACGACTGTATCCAATAGTGAGCTGAGCATCTTGGTTGTTTTGGATGATGCTAGAGCGATTCCTGATCCAGTTTGCTTGATTATCTGCTTCTTCCTTTGTTCAGGGTGGGAGGGATCAAGAGGCACCCAAGCGCCACCTGCCTTGTTGATGGCTATAATGGAAACAACATGCCAGACAGACTTCTCAAAGCAGACATGGATGAAGCTACGAGGACGAACAGAGTGCACTTTAATAAGGTAGTGAGCCAGGCGATTTGCGGCGCTATTGAGCTGGCCGTACGTGAGCTTCCCGTCCCAGGCGTCGATAGCTACGGCGTTTGGTTGGCTGCGAGAGCGCTCTTCAAATAGTTCATGGAAACAGCGATCGACAACTTTAGTAGAATGCTTGTTCCAGCTGAGAGCCTTCTCTACATCTAACGCTCCGGCAAGCGAGATAGATTTTACAGATGAGTCCCGCTTGCTTAGGAGTTGCTGCACAACATTGCCATAGTGGTAGACTAGAGTTTCAACTCTGGTTTTGCTGAGAATGTCGCTATTATAAGTGATTGTTAGGTCGGCCCGTCCATCACCGACGATGACCTGGAATACGAGGGGATAGGTTAAGTAACCCTCCATACTCTCCTCCAGAGTGAGGCTTCCAGAGTCATCTGGGGCAAAAACTGACTGTGCTTCACCTGCAAGACGAGACATTTGTTGGACAGGTTGGACGACGAGCAGGCAAGAAAATTTACAAGCCTCATCTGCCTCTCTGGACAGCTTCGCGATCCTCTGCAGGCCGTATTGCTCGTAAGAAATCATGCCAATCGCCTGGCTCTGAACAGATTTCAAGTATTGACTGATCGATTGCTGCTCGTCGATACGCATGCGTAAGGGTACTGTCGCAATCGCAGGTCCACACATATTGTCAATGTTGGAAACAGGAGCTTGGCGGCCGGATATACTGGCTCCAAAGCACACATCGTTGTCCTCTGAGTATCGAGAAAGCACCAGAGCTAAAGCAGCGCGGATGATAGTGGCTTTTGTCACAGTGCTAGTCTCGGAGACAGGTAGATCCATAGACTCTAAATAAATCTTGGTAGGATTGGCTGATCTGGAGTTTGACTTGGGGGCTGCGGGAGGCCAAGAGAGCCGCTTCGCCTCGTGGAGTTGTTTTGACCAATACTGCATGAAAGACTCTTCACTGATATCCTTAATGTATTTAATGAAACCGGCATAAGGATATACATTTGCCACAGGGAGGTTGTGGTAGAGGCTGAACAAGGTACGCTGAATCAGCTGAGATGACCATCCGTCATAAATAGAGTGGTGAACAGTCCAAACGAAGTAATTTGTGCCATTTTCTGTGGTGACGAGGCCATGACGGCTGAGTCTAGTTCCAGAGCACATTGCATGGGAAGAAATATCTTTGACTGTATTTCCGACATCCTCGGATGTGAGTTCCCACTGAGGATCATCGTTCAGCACTAGCTGCACAAATTTGCCATGCAATTGGATGATTCTGGTACGAAGATTAGGGCAGTGAAGTATGGTTTGCTCCCACGCTGTCTGGAATTGATCGACGTCAACGAAGTCAGACAGACGATAGACATACTTCGCCACATGAGATCCGGGCTGTTTCTCGGCCAAAGCCATCATGCCCTCCTGGATTGGCGTAC